AAGGGTGAGGTATATATAGGCCCCAAACTGGTTTGCATTTGAAGCTCAAAAATATCTTTTCCTGAATTTTCGGGGTCCTGGCGGTACTACCTCCTGACTAAGGTGGTACAGCCGCTTAACAGAGCTCGGAGACTGAGCTCTAGTAGTGCCACCGCCTGACAGGGGCGGTTGCATCGCCCAATCTCGCTCGGAGACTGAGCCCAAGCGGTGCTACTACCTGATTGGGGTGGTTGCACCGCTTGGTAGAGCTCGGAGACCGAGCTCAGGTAGTTCTACCACCTGTCAGGGGCAGTTGCACCGCCCAACCTAGCTCGGAGACTGAGCCCTGGGCGGTGCCACCGCTGGCCAAGAAATCTAGGTTCGAATGGGCTGATCCATTCGACCCAATTTGGGTCTATCAAAGGCCCAATTGCCCCCAGATTAAGTTAATAGGATCACCTCACATTCCTAACTTAATCTATATGCTAACTATGATATTTCTTAAGACATTTACTGTAATTTGCTCCGGTGCGTCAATCGCTTCTTCCGGCGAGCTTCCGGTGAACATCCGACGAATCTTCGGTGATGCTCTGATGGACTTTCGGCAAACTCCTGGACTTGCGACGATTCACTTGGGTAGTTCCGACGAGCTTCTTTGGCAAGCTCTTGGACTTCTCGAATTTGTTCCCGTAGAACCTCCGATGATCGTCTGGACTTCCGTCGAACTCTCGAACCCCCAACGTGATCATGGTCTTGACTCCGGCGTAACTCCTGCTGCATGTCTTACTTTGATCGTAGTTAATCCTGCACACTTATCTCAACATATGGATTAGATAACAAATGACAATTGATTTTATCATCAAAATTCAAGATTCAACAAACATCTCATCGTTTGTGTCATCCATAGAATCAACCCAAATCTCTACAAGGTTACGTATAACTTTGTTAAAAAGAAAAGAACCTTGGAGAGTTGAGGGAGAACGTGTAAGGCATTTGGCCAAGGGAATTAGGAGGATATGTGGCTCTGTCCATCGACCTTTTGTCAATATATATATATATATATATATATATATATATATATATATATATATATATATATATATATAATTAATGTGTCATGCACTCTCAAAATTAAAGTATTGACTATTTTTTGGGATAAATATTAATTAATATTTAAATACATTTACATCTTTACCTCTCATAACTCTCGTTTGCAATGATCTCTAATTAAGTTTTGTAAACATATTTGCATGAATTGTATTAATTTATAAGATCCGGTTCACAAGTTTCCTAAATCATTTAGGATCCGAGTGAGAATATATATTATGAACCCAAAAATAAAGATCCATAGCTAATGTTTCGGGCCGGCTACCGGATTTATACACGTTATCGGATATAGATTTGGCATCGATTCCCCATCTAATATGGTCAATGGATCCATGCCCAAAATTAGGTTTCGGGTTATTGGATCCATTGACACCCAGTTCAGAACGCTCACGTATTCTTTAATTCTACCCGACTTGTACCTTACTTGCTATTGGACGCAAAGGTGGAGCTTAAATGCAGTCCAATCATAAGATTGTTCGTTGACTTTAAAGACCCTTCGATCGTGCCAATAAATAAGAACCTCAAAACCCTAAATTCATATTGTTTGCGAAACCCTAATCCCGAAGAGCTCTCTTGAGGACGGTGGTGGCACTCGACCTGCCAACCCAATCTCTCTTCTGAGCTCCGGAGCGCACCCAGATGGAGATCAATCTCGGGAAACTTCCCTTTGATCTCGACTTCCACCCTTCCTCTCCTCTCGTGGCGGCCGGTCTCATCAACGGTGATCTCCATCTGTGAGTTCTATCTCTTACGCTAAAGTCCTAACTCTTATCGGTGTTGATGACAGAATCAGCTAATTTTTATTGAATCCGTAATTGAAGGTACCGTTATGTCGCCGATTCACAACCTCAAAGGTACGTTATACAAGTTTCTGCCGTGTATTTGATCCATTAGTTCTGCATTTGAGGAACCTGCTCTGATTTAGTTGTCATCTTCTTCTTATGGGTTATCAATTGATAATTTTGCATTTATCGCAAGTTTTGCTTCGGTGGCCAAAAGATTGGTTTTTTTTTTTTTTGAGATGGGCAAATTTTAGTTTTTTTGGGTATTTTGTATTTTTGTAGGTTGCTGGAAGTTCACGCTCACGATGAGTCCTGTAGAGCCACACGTTTTGTCGATTCAGGGCGTGGTATTGGTTCACATCAATCTCATAGTTGTAATGCTTTAATATGTTAATTGCTTTATCATGTTGTGTTCTTCTTTCTGTGCATTTTCAGTAATCCTGACGGCTTCTCCTGATTGCTCTATTCTTGCCACGGATGTCAGAACTGGAAAAGCCATTGCTCGTTTGGAAGAAGCTCATGGGTTAGCTAAATTGGTTGGCATGAGCACCTAGTTTGGTTTTTTGCTTGTCGTGCATGTTATGAAATAATCTATTCATCTGTTGTATTGTGAATAAAGGGATGCAATTAATCGCCTTGTCAACTTAACGGAGACAACAATTGCATCTGGTGATGATGAAGGTTACATAAAGGTTCTTTGTTTTCCTCTCTTATCATTGCTTATTAACCATAGAGCATTCAATTTGTTGCACCTCATTGTATCTTCACTAATGCTTTGCATTATACACCATGTGTGGTGATAGTAAACTTTGATATGTTTCAGTATATTATTTTCTTGGTTAAATATTGTAGGGAAGTTACCAAATAATCTGATATGTTACAATTCATCTGTTATGCTAGTGAAGTTTGTGATTGTCTACAGTATGTTGTGTTGGTTGTAAACATTCAAATCTATTTGCTTAAAATTATATCTGTTTGGATAGTGACTAAAATGCTTCTTGTGGATAATATTTTTTGAAAGTTGTCTATCGTTGTGCCCCAATTTGTGGTCTCAGAATCACTGGCACACCACTATATGTTTCTTATGTTTCAATTTTCAGGTCTGGGATACCCGACAACGTGTTTGTTGCAATACATTTCATGCCCATGAAGATTATATCTCAGATATTACTTTTGTCCCTGACACTATGCAACTTCTGGGAACAAGGTAGATCATGAATTTTGATGGATATGTTAATGTATTATGATTTATTGTGTTGACTATTGTTTTCATGCGTCTTTCTTCCCTCCAGTCTCAATTCCTTCATGGTCATGTTGTTTGATATGTGGTTGAATTATCTTAAACATTTTTTTTTTGTTATTCCTTGATGGTTTAGGAGTCATGTTTTACCTAAATTGAGCTGTTGATAGGAAGCATGTCTAGCTAAGAAAACTTCTCAGTTAGCTTTATCCTTTGACTGATATTATGGAACAAAATACAATTTGAACATACTTGGATGATGGAGTCGCATAAATTCACAAGAACTATAAAAACTGTGCAAGAAGTGGTTTAATTGAATAATTCGTCTCATGATTGACCACTGAGACATGGATTGGGATTGAATGTAATAGTGGTTCATATTGGGGGGAACATAAAACGCAGAAATGTGAAAATTGAAGTATGATACTTTTCTTCTGTGGCTATAATATTGTTGTGAACTAGTCTTATGAGGAATTGTGGTGTGTTTGGGAACACATTTGTATTTTTAATATTCATTTTGCGAAAGCGGTTTGGGTGAATGTGCAGTCGTAGAATGACTTGATGAAAATCATATTGGAATGTGCATTGACGTAATTTTAGTTATGTAAAATTATATTCCAAAAGTCAATTGAATATTATATGATAAATTTACCCTTTTACTATTTTTAATATTTATTCAAAAGTGAATATATATTTGTTTACTTAAATTAATAAGCAAATAAATAAATAAAATGTTACAAAAAAATTGTATGGCCCAGATATGTAATAATAAAAACTATACTTGTATAAATGAATGTAAAATAATCTTTGAAAATAAATAAGATTCGTCCTTATAGAAACCGAGAGAAAGGGAGAGGAAATGAGAGTTAAGGTTTCTGTTATATAGTGCTAATATTATGGTTTTAGAGAATATCATAGGGTACTTTGGAAAATTTGAAAAATTTCATTAGCATCCCGAAAATGTTGAAATGCTAATTCTATCCTAAGGTGGCATCAACATTTGAGTAGTTGCAATACAGTATCCAGGCCAAATGCGATTTGAAAAAGATTTACCAAACACCAATTCATATTTGAAATGTGCATTGTTCCCTCAATGCACGTTTCAAATGTATTCCCAAACGCACCCGTAGAGATAGCCTCTTAGTCTCATCTTCTTTCACTTCTCTTATTGTTTTTTGTCTTTTTCTGCTTGAAGGACTGGCTAGTCTTAGTTCCAAGATTCACTGCCTCAAAATGTTAAGGTATTCAGTGGAAATATGGGAGGGAAAACTTTAGAACCTTGGAAAGTTTGTTCTGGTGGTAGGTTTCCAAGTATTTGTCCTGTCATGTTTTCAGAAATGGATCTTTTCTCATACAACTTTATCTGATGGTTGCACTATTGTTTTAGTAATCAATCTCAGAGTAGTGAGTTGAGAGATGTCACAGAAAATACTAATTTTACATCATTCTTGTTAGTGTTTCCATATTCTCAAGTATTTTCTGGTTGTGGTTTTGTATTTTGTTATGGTTGGTTCATTTAACTTCAATCCAAGTTTTATTTATGCTCTATTTGTGGGTGTTCTTGATATGCTATCTTTAACTTCTAACTAGATTGTTTATTGTTTTCTTTGTGGAAATTTATTATTGTCTTAATGAGATGTTACAAAAATCATTTGATTTTTTCGTTATTGCTTATGGAAACATAATCATTTTATTTTCATTCATTTCAGTGGTGATGGCACTCTATCAGTGTGCAGTCTTCAGAAAAATAAGGTTTTGTTTGTAACTTATGCAGTCTCCTCTTGAAAATATGCAAGTGTAGAATATTCTAAAATATTTTCGGGTATGTAGGCTTATTCTGAAATGTGTTATACCTTTGTTATCACCATAGATCCAATCCCAATCTGAATTTTCAGAAGATGAGTTGCTATCCTTAGTCATAATGAAGGTAACTTTTTACTGTTTTTGAATATTTCAATTTCTGTTTTAGTCTTGCATGGTGAAAAAGAACGGAGTTTGGCTTTTAGCTATATACATTTGTTTGATAATCTGCTTTTGCATGAACATGAAGATGCAGAGATATTTAGAAAAGGAAAATATTGTATCTAATCATTAAAAGAACGATGAATGCATTTCATTTTTATATAATTGTTGAAGTGATGTTAGTCATGTGTTAGAAGCAGAAAAAATGTTACTTATGTGTCTGAGTGACTGGCTGAAAACCATTACTGAACTGTCCAACAATGAATTTTCAATGTCCAACTAGCAATAAAAGCTTACTTATGTGTCACAATGTCTGATAAATTATTAGTCCATTGGATGGGAGAACCTGTTTATCACCCAACAAAACTATCGAACAATTCATTTTCTAAATTTCCAACTACTGATGTATGTGAATATTCCATTCATAGAGTTTGATGTTATCTTGGTTCCAGACTTAAAAGTTTGATTTTATCGCACATGGCGATACATGTATGTTCAATCCCACTGTTTCTTGTCCACATTTTCCCATAAATGGGATGGAAGTAATATCTGCGATATGTATGATTTTGTTTAGTTTCTGATAATGGGTATCTCATCAAGACGTAATATGTTGCATACTCTTCTATATTATGTTTTGCAGAATATGTTGCATACTCATTTATATTATGTTTTTCAGAATACAGTTTAGATGTCACAGAATATTATGATTTTCCAGAAAATAAACTTAATGAAAGATAGCTTAATCTACTAGTTTTATTCTGTGATTATGCTTCCTTCTTAACATACTGATCAATTATCAGCAAAAATGGCTGTATTTTCTCTAACAAACGCACTATTTTACTCAGAATGGTCGAAAAGTTATCTGTGGAACCCAGACAGGAACTTTGCTACTATATTCCTGGGGCCATTTCAAGGATTGCAGGTAGATCATTATTGTTGGAAAGAGTATCAATTAGTTATTCAACTAGAAAATTGAAGTGTGTTAGCAACTATACTGTTTCTACATTCTGATTTTGCCTTCAGTTGTTATTATTTTCCTTTTTTAGTCTTACACATTAAATTCTCATTTCCAAAGTCTATTCATTCATTTGTAGAAAAAAATGCTAATTGAATATCTAGTATGATGTCTCTGTACTGTGAAAATGATAAATGCAGATGAGCAATGATGATTCTGGTTGATGATTGGGGTGGATATTTAATATAAAGACTAAAGAAGATAATTATTGTTGACCACATACTGATAGTAGAATCCAGAACTCATTTCTGTAGCAGTAGGGTAGCAGCAACATTGGATATGACTCCAATGAATATTCGAATCTGCTTTTACCTACACAAATTCTACAAACTGTATCTGAATGGCAACAATTATATCTACTTAACACAGACTGACACGTAAAATGATCCACATTTGTCAGACATGACATGACAAATGTTGAATTTGTTCCATGTTCATTTGCTTTTCTGGATGCTTGAGATGAACAATGTTCTTTATATAGCAAAGTTTCATCTCCTTCGTTGACTTAGGTCTAATAGAATTTTGGGGTTGGAAGCTTTTATGTCCTGAGGATGAGTCCGTGACTTCTCTTTTCCAGAAAATTCATAACAGCCTAAGAGCATTGGTATTAGGCACACAGAGAGTTGTAAAATTTGTCCAGTATTCCTTCTTAAATTGATTTATGGCCTATAATTTTATTACATAGCATGCATATCCTTATACTAATGTCATTTAATTGTTTGTATTTTGGTGGATACATTTGACAATGTACATTTCTTGTGTCATCAGTGACCGTTTCCTTGGGCATCCTATGTCCATTGATACACTGTTGAAGGTAAGGATAATGACCTTGAGTTGGAAATAGTATGAAATTTTATCTTTACCAGTTTTTACATATGAGCATATTTTTTTTAGCTTGATGAAGACACTCTGATTTCTGGATCAGAAGATGGAGTAATCAGGTCTCCGGATGAACTTTTTGAGCCTGAATCATGTAATATCAGTTTTCCAATATGAATACCTGATATTTTTTAAATTTGAAATCATGTTTTTATAGGTTGGTGGGCATTCTGCCAAATAGAATAATTCAACCACTTGCTGAACACTCAGAATACCCGATTGAGCGTCTTGGTATGCCAAATACTATTATTTCTTGTACTTGTTAATATTTGTTTAAATTAATTAAACTACTAATTAACTGACTAATTTTTCATGTTCTCATTGCAGCATTCTCAAATGATAGAAAATTTCTTGGCAGCATTTCACATGATCAAATGTTGAAGGTGAGGTCATAAGAGCATTTGACACTATTGATTAAAACCATAATTATGTAATTGTATAAAATGTTTAATCCTTTTATTGTTGTTCATTGTATTTACTGACATACATGCAGGAAAGTTGATTCAAGGTTATATTTTTCGTTGTATAGTTCATGAACTGCACTCTCGAAGTAGAAGACTCTGATAATTTGTGCCCTTTTTGTAGTTTTTTTGACAGTTCTGTTCTTCCATTATTTCTGGCAAATATTGATATGATATGCACCCATATCTTCCTTGATTACATAAACTAATTGACTCTGTACAAAAATAATTTCTGTAGCTATGGGACTTGCAAGAACTTTTGGATAACCGTCAAGGAACACCAGAGGATCAGATGGTTGAAGCTGATAGTGATGAAGAAACGATGGACATGGATGTAAAACCCCACAAATCCTCTAAAGGTGTGGTTGCGTTTGCATTTTGTCGGTTAAATTAAAGTTCATTTTTGACCTTACCTCTATTACCTGCATTAAAAATGAAAATTGTTTACCTTCACAAGTCCAGTTATTAATTATTGGCTTTGTATGGATCAATGTGTTGAGCAAGGTGTCATGCTTTTTGCAATTGGGTTCTGATCTTGTCATCATTGTGATAGTTCTTCCTGGTTGCTCAAATAAGCTATATCATCCTGAATTACCGAAAGAGGTACATTTTCATGCTTATTAAATCCACATCGTTTAATTCTTGACAGGTACAAGGAGAAAGAAATTGGACAAGGGCAAATCGTCAAATACTTCTGCTGCAGATTTTTTTGCAGACTTGTAGGCTTTGACAGGATTTTCTGGCTCAAGGGGAACATTTTGCAATTGACATCCAAGAGATCGAGACGTTTTAGTGCAGCAGAGGTGAAAATTACACAACATCCAAAAGAACTGTTGTGGCATTATTAGCACAACAAAGAGTGGAACTTTTTGTTCATTGGTTGCTTTACTCCATTATTTGTCTCTGGAGAGTGTAATTGATTTCAGATTGCAGAACATTTGTATCTAATGCATGAAGCAACAGGGAAGTGTTTTGACATGTATTGATCCTTTGTTTGTGTATGACCATCAACCCAGTTGCTATTTTGATTGATCTAGACCAAATGTTCCTTAAATTTTCTTGTTGAATTTACTGTTAAAAGGCAGAACACAATCAAATTTTGTGTGTATATATATATACACACACGAGGAGAAGAGGAGCTGCTGCTGGGCGATGGTGCTGTGACCGTTGCGAAGGTTCCTGAAGGCTGCTCTGACGGGAGAGGATTTGATCGGGGGCAGCAATCACCAGCTGTTCTGCGCGTAGCCCTCTGTTCTTCTTCTCTGTGGCACAGAGGAGAGGGTTCGATTGGGAGCAAAGACGGTGGTTGGGCTCGGTGGCTGCAAAGCTGGTGCTGTGATCGCACCTCAACAGCGAGTGCGTTGTGCTGCTTGCGTCCCGCGCAGGGGTGACCTCGGCTCTCCCAACGTTGTAGGGACATGGCTACCTCTCCCTAGGGTAGCGATGGTCTCTGGGGTTGGTGATGGTGGCAGTAGGGCAGATCCGACGGCGAGGCTCTTTATCCTTACCTCTCAAGTTGCTCCTCCACGAAGTAGCATAGAGGCAGGTTGTGATCGCAGCCTCCTTCTCTGATTTCTAGCAACCCTCGGTCTTGGACTAGCCTTTTCAAGACTCCGGTTGGAAATCCGGATCTTAGCTTAGATTTCTTTGCTCCAGACGTCTAGGTTGCTCAGAAGATTGATGTGTAGAAGACTACTGATTAAGACTTGGTCCAAGGCACTTGTTGGTTATGCGATTGGTCTCAAGATATCCTATTTCCCACTATTCTCATTCATCAAGACTACATAGGAAATATCAACATTTGATCTTCATATACTAGAGAATGGTTTTTTTGTTTGTAAGCTTTACTCTGAAGAAGATTTACAATGGATCCTTGAAGGGTTTTGGATTATTCACGACCATCTAATGATTCTACGACACTGGTCTCCTGATGTCCATTTGGAGTTAGCCTATAGTTTATTCCCTTATGGGTATCCTTTCATGGTCTTCCTCTATATCTTTAGAGTCTACGTATTATTGCAAAGTTATGTAGCACTTTGGGACAGCCACTATATATCGACAAGGCAACAATTGCACAAACGAGATTAGCATTTGCACGAGCATGTGTAATGGTTTCTTCCGATGGTGATATTTCAAATGAAGTTTTTTATCGTGATCTTGATGGGAACACCCGTAAGGTGCATGTCTCATATTCCTGGAAGTCATAGTGATATAAGATTTGCTTATCTTTCAGTCATGCAAATGGAGCTTATCAGCAAACTCAAAAATAGATCACTCAGGTCTACCGACCACGTCAGGTGCCTTAGCATGGAGTTAATATTGAACAAAGTGAGTCTCTGTTAATGGTAGGAGCGTAGGTGGTCGCGAAGATGAGTGAGCATTTAGACTCATAACGACAACACCGCGAACACAAGGACAAGTCAGAAACATCATCTCTTCCTATTATGTTGAAGTCTTCTACAACAGTGGTTTCTCATGGTACTCGCATCCCAACAACCTCACCTCTAAGATCTACTCTTCAAGCCAACGAAGATGTGTCTCAACAAACTTATGCCCCAACAAGCCTTACCAACCAGGATATTATGCCTCAACAAATCCATTACATTTTAACATACCCTGTCAACTAAGACTTCTTGGCTCAAAGTATTTTAAAGTTTAAACATTTGTAAGCTGTAAATAAAATAGATAAATATAGGAATAAAGGCTTAAAAGGTAAGGATATTATGCAGGAAGAAAATGTAAAATCTAAGGATAAGAAAAAGGATGGTACTATCCTTCCTTCTACCTAGGAAGAATTCCTTACTTTCTTTCTGACATTTTTTCATTTTGATGAAGATAATTTGTTGGAATGTTTGTGGACTTAATAAGCCTGAAAAATGTTAGGAGCTCAATAGAATAATCAGGTCTGCTGCTTATAATATTATTATTCTTGTGAAAACAAAAATTAAATCATCTCATGTTTGTGCTCAAAAAAATTTAATATAGCCGAAGGCAGAACTTTTTACCGATGATTCTTGTGACACTTATAGTAGAATATGGGTCTTATGGCATCCCAATTTTATTAGTGCTCATTTCTACTATTGAATAATTCATCCACCTTAAGGCATGGACAAAAAGAATGGCTATCAATTTCATTACTAGTATATATGCTTCAAACAGTATGCATGAAAGAAATATTCTGACTGATTTGATTAGCATTGTAAATGGTTATCTTATAATGCCTTAGATTGTTTTTAGTGACTTTAATACTCTTCGATACACAAATGAAAAAGTGAGACAAATGAAAAAGTGAGGGATAAACCACTTTTAGAAAGTCGATTTCAAAGTTTTAATGATTATATAAATATTATTGTAATTAAGTGATATAGAATATGTAGTGGATTGGCTTTCATGTAATCAAGGTGTTGTCTAAAGGAAAATAATAGCTCGACTTGACAGGTGTCCGATTAATCAAGAATGGTTAACAGTTTACTCTGATTTACATCTTGAGTATGGTGCTCCATTGTTTTCCTATCACTCTTTAATATATATATATATATATATATATATACATACGTAGACAAAACAACACCGAGAGATAAGAAACCTTTTAGATTCTTTAACATGTGGAGTACTCATCCTTAGTTCTTGGAGTACTCATCCTTAGATCAACTTGAAATGTTAATGTGCATGGTTCTTCCCCTTATATCTTATGCCAAAAGCTGAAAGCATGTAAAGCAACACTTAAAGAGTGAAATACAAACATCTTTAACAATATTACCACCCAAGTCTAATTATATAAAAAGGAGCTAATGACAGTGTAATATAAGCTATATCTTTAGCCCCTCGATGAGAATCTTATCTGCAAATAGGTAGAAGCCAAAGATAACTTCATACAAGCCTTAAAGCAGGAGAAAAGTTTTATTAAACAAATGTCTCGATAGCATTAGCTTACTCTAAGTGATTCTAATACTAAATTTTTATATGCCTCTATTGCTACTAGAAGGGTCATTAATTACATCAAGAAAAGTAAAGACAAAGATAGTAATATTATTAAGAATTTGGATAAGGTTCAAGTACAGTAATTTTTTTTATTTCTTACTCAATCAAGAGGAGCAGCCTAATAATATTCATATAGAGCCTACTAGAAAGCTTGATTCGGATGTCATCTCAATCCTCAATGCCCTAATTATAGATAAAGAAATTGTAAGAGTTGTCTTTAAGTCACCAAAGTACAAAAGCCCTAGTTTGGATGGATTTTCAGCTGAATTTTATCAAATTGCATGGTCTTTCGTTAGTAATGATGTTATTAAAGCTTATTAATATTTTTTCTCTTTAGGCTGTATTTTTAAAGAGATAAATTATACTTTTATTTCTTTAATTCTTAAGAATGCAGGGGCTGACTCACTAGAGAACTATCGACCCATTTCATTATGTAACTTTATTTTTAAGATCATCTCTAAGGTACTGACAGATAGCAAAAGCTTATGCACAAGATCATTAGTCCTAATCAAGCTACTTTCATTAAAGGGATAAGTATACATCAGAATGTTCTTCTGGTTAATGATTTGATCAAGGATCTGTATTCAAAAACAAGAGAAATAGAAATCTATTTTAAAGCTAATTTACGAAAAGCTTTTGATTCAGTTAATATATACTTTATCTACAAGATGCTCCTCGGTATGAACTTCCCTTAACAATGAGTTAATTAGATTGAAACTTTAAATTTATTTATTCTCTTCAATGGTTCACCTATTGTCTTTTTTGGGAGCATGAATAACATCCGACAAGGAGATCCACTTTCTTCTTATCTTTTTACAATTGTAATGGAAGGACTCAATTGTACGTTGGATGAGGCAGTCTTTGATGGCAGCATTAAGGTACCCCATGCTGACTCTTTTCATATATTACACATAACTTTTATAGATGATCTTCTTATCTTTCTCCAGAATGATTCTACTTTAGTAAGGAATCTAGCTACTATTATGAAAGGCTTTGGTATAGTTTCTAGCCTTCAACTAAATTATGCAAAAAGTAAAGTATATATGGGTCCTTGCATTGAATATAAAGATTTTATTGCACAAACTCTAGGGGTTAGTGAGAGAATTTTGTTAGTTCCTTATTTGGGTCTGCCACTTATATCCATTGGCATTCACAAAACCCATTGCCAGCATATCCTGTAAAAAATAAATAATAAAATTTTCTCCTAGAAAAATAGACTTCTTTCGAAAGCAACGACTTGAACTCATCTAATCTATATTGTAATCTTATTCTATTTATTAGTCTAATACATTTCTTTTGCCTGTTGGACTTTTTTAGGATATTGAACGACTATTTATGAACTTCTTCTAGAATGACATAGATGGTAGTGCAATACATATGATAATTTAGAACAACATTTGCAAACTGAAAGATAAAGGGGCCTAAATATGAGAAATATTAAAGATTAGAATAAAGCTTATTTGTTACAGAAATTATGAGACCTTTTGTAAAATAATTATTCCTTATGGTCACGATAGGTTTCTACTAGGTATCTATCCAAGGAATCAATCTAAGAAATTTCAACAAAAATATATCATTCTACGAAAGGAATTTTGAAGGTAAAGAATTGGCTAATCCAACATATTTGCTATGCAATCTCTTTTGGGACATATGTGGTATGATCCTTAGATGAATAGGAAAAGTATACTCCAATTATATGGTGATAGAGTATGAAGATCTCTTAGGGCTCCCAAAGATTAAAAGGTTTATGAGTTCATTGCTAATGACACTTGGTGTCTTCCCAATTCTACTTCTCTTAAAATGTTATCACTTTGGTCGATTATTACAACTATTCCAATCAGAAACAACTCATCAGATATGTTTATTTGACTTTATGATAATGATAAATTTAGTGCTATATTAGCATGGAATCAAATCAGGCAAAGGAACAATAAGTGGATCCCAAGCAGTTAGATATGGGATAGACCGAGCTCACAGAGACATTCTTTATGCATATGGCAGGCTCTTCTTGCCAAACTACTTATAGTAGACAATATAAAGAGAAGAGGTATTTATCTTGTCAACCGATACTCTCTTTGTATGCAATAGGAAACAAGTGTTGACCACCTCAATTTTGTATGTGATTATACTAATTAGATATGGAAAGAGATTTTGAAGCGATTTGAACTTAATAAGCTACCACAACCAAACTTGCATCAAGAACTAAGAAAGCTCATGCAAAACTTCTCAGGAAAAGAACCTCTTCCATAACTAGCAAAGATTACCTTCAGATGTGCTATTTGGTAGATTTGGAAGGAAAGGTATAGTATAATCTTTGAGCGTCGAAACACAAACAATGTTCAACTTCTGATAGAGATTCTTAAAAACTCAAGATCATGTATGAAGCAAGATTTGAAATTGGAGCACTTAACACGAAGAGAGAGAGATTTTTATCGAATTCAATTTTACTATTAGTTAATGATCTCGGGAATAATGTTGAAGAACTCTATGTATTTCGTAGTTATCTATTTTAATATTGTGATGTACCCAGTAGTTTAGACATGGCAGAACATTATATTTTATTTGTTGACTATAGTAAGACGTCATAGTCTATGATATGTATAGTCATAACTATCTTTTTGTTTGACTATTGTTGGAAGATGAGTCTGGTGGTGGTGGAGTAAGACCATTCCACTTTTTTGAGATATGGTACACTCTCCTAAACTACTCTAAGAGATATCAGACTTTAATCTATGACTTGTATAAACAAAGCTATTTTGTATAGACTTCATACTTAATCCAATTATTTTTACTTACCAATATATATATATATATATATATATATATATATATATATATAATTTATTTCAGTTATATACTACTTAACAGATTAAAGCTAACAGATGATGGATTTTTTTTTTCACCCTAAGAAATATGGTTTTGTCTACAGCAAATGCAAAAATCAGTTTTAGCATCATATTTGTGCATATGTATGATTGGATTTAAGGGAAAACTGAATTATATTGTTTTGGATCAAAGTCCAATTAGAAAAATAGCTCTAGTACAAAGATTTTAGTGCATAATCTGATTGTATATCATATAAACATCAGAATAAATGATATACACTGGATCGATAGTGCCTCCTTTTTTATGTCTTTTTCCTAGTATGATTTGGTTTAATAAATCTTAAGTCGATTCAAATAATTTCAAACAAACTACAAGAGTTTTAGTTATATAACTTTAAAAATTATGAAAAATACAAACTTAAGAAATAAAATTTAATTGAAAATGTTTAAAAAATAAATTTATTTAAATTACATATCAATATAAATTTAATATATTTACATTTCTAGATATTTAATATAATGTTTTAGTACAATATATCAATATATAATATTTAATGGAACAAAAAATATAATGACTTGGAACGTACTTTTATTTTACTTCCAAAATATATTTCTTTTTTTAAATATTCAACAAAATTTTAGTTCTTAATTTTTAACTATTAATTTGATTCCATTTAATTCATCGAACCCATTCTTAATGCATTGAACGAGACAGAAAAAAAGAAAACCGATGTAAAAATAGGGGAGAAAAGAGAAAAACTGAGGTATTTTTACGACTGTAAAAAGTACGGACAATATTTACGGAAAAAACAAAAAAATTATGGTTTTTTTTCTGAAAATTCGCCCTAATAGGATTGGGAATAAATAAGAGAGATAAATAAACCAGTTCAGTCCAGATTAAGTCATTCTTGAATACTCGGTCTTTAATCGAGTTCGGATCCCGTACCCGTTTCATTCCCATAGTCTTCTTTAATATCCGTGCGAGGCGTATCGAAGCGTGCGTACGAGCGAGAGGTCTTAATACTAAGATAGTTAATCGGGTTCGGATCCAGTACCCGTTTCATTGCCATAATCTTTAATATCCGTGCAAGGTGTATCGAAGCGTGCGTCCGAGCGAGAGGTCGCGCGCCCGAAACGCTACATAGAGCTTATAACGTTTTATATCTCAGAAAAAGGGGGAAGAGGGAGAGCAGGTGATGGGCGACGAGAGGTCGCCGAGCCCGATGGCGAGCAGGGAGAAGGATCGCGAGCTGCTCATCCCCATGGCAGACGGAACCGCCGACGCCGACCACCCCGACGCCAAGGCCTCCTCCTCGTCAGCCTCCGCTCGCACCCACAGCTCTGGTCGAGAGGTCGCCACCCAAGCCCCCTTTCCATCGATCTGATCGGATTCCCGTTCAGTTTGGTATTCTTAGCACGAATTCCTGTTTTCGATGATGGTTTCTAGAGTTTCGCCAGGTCTGATTTGTCGCGTTGGTTGTGGTGTTAGGGTTTGTTTCTCATTTGCCTTCTCGGAATTCTTTGGTTAGAATTTGTTGGCCCGAGAGCATACAAGGATGCCCCTTTGGTTTCATGAGGTTGATTAGGTTCATATGGGAAGCCAGTCGAACTTGTCCCTGCCATTTCTTCAGTGAAATCTGTTGATTGCACGCTCGTGTGTGTAAATAGTAGCTGAAGCTATCGAAGCATATGTGATGAGGTACACAATCCTCGGATGTCTTGTAGTCTCAACATAGAAGGGAGTGATTGTCTTATCTTACGCCTCGAGGTTCAAGAGCCTATATTGATGCTTTTGATTAGAGTTATATTGCCAAATATCTGTTCCTGTTCCTATCGTAATTAGCACCAGCAAATTGCACGTTAATATGTCTAATATATTTTATTGCCTCTATTTTGACTTATTATAAGCTGCCACTAATGACACCCCAATTTAGTTCCACATCAGGAGTGAGAAAATAATTAAATTGATCTATAAGAATGTGTTCTATTATTAAAAAGATCATTGGAAGTAAGAAAAATACATAAATTGGTCTCTAGGGGTTTGATGAGTGCATGACTGTAAACCTAACCTTAAGCATCTTATTGAGATGACCGATGAGTGTATTGGGTTAGTCTCAATAAGTTGATGAGTTGGTTTTCCTCGAGTCGGATTGTGAGAGGAGCAACTTGTTGGCCTTGTTTGAAAGAAATTTATTCTCATAAAACATCTGCCAGGATTTGTATTACTTCTATGCTGTTTAATACTGTCATTGTGAAAAACTTACTTTTATTGTTCCACTTCTACATGTAGGCTTTTTATAAAGTGATCCGCAGTTGGGCCTCAAAGAAATTTATGACAGGATGGTAAGCTTCTCCCTTATCATTCTAAGTTCTTCCCCATTTGTAGCACTAAATGTATCACTTTATGCTGTGCTTCTTCCTTGTTCCATATCCTAACTTCATATTTTAACTTTCCATGAGTGTTCTTTTGTTTGAGCTGCTGGAAACTTCCACTGGTTTGAATGATGCTGAATTATTCTGATTAAACCTCTTTGGACAAGCAGGTGTTCTGAATCCTTCATAGAGTTGCTCATTGGACATGAAAGTGAAATTTCCTTATCTTTTTGTGTATATTCTGAACCAAATGCATTTTTCACTGTTATTAAATTGGGTTCCTATGATGCTGTTTTTTTCTTGCTTCTGTATTTAGGACAAATGCATTATATGATGAAGCATACTTGAAACATGTTCCAGGCCAGACTCTAGTAGATTCCAGTGGAACTTTGTTTATACTGATACTATAAGAATGCCAATTTTTTCTTATTGTTAGTGTCTATGGTGTGGATGAAGTTCTAGTTGGAATCAAATGCATCTTTCAACCTTTCATTTTAAATATTTTCTAAATCTTAAATGAAATTGGTCATTTAATTTTCTATTTGATAGCTAAAGGGTGCATGTTATTTCTATAGCTGTCTCTTTACACCAGTCAATAATTTGGACTATATTGTACCTTGATCCTTAGGCTGACCTGAATGAAATCTTAGTTCCTGAACTACAACTGTTATCTTTTGCAGTGTCATCCTATTTCCAATTGCAATCACCTTCTATATCACCTGGTGGTTCATTCATTTCGTTGATGGGTTCTTTTCTCCAATCTATGCTGGACTTGGGATAAACATATTTGGTATGAAATTTGATGTTTATCAAATATTATTTTTTGTATTTTTGTCAAATAAAGAAAATATCTGTCAGCAGATGTCATGGATAGACTAGTACACCATTGTTGATTTTTCTTTTCGTTGTTGTTTTCTCCTCAAGTTGATCTTGCCTTGTCTCTACTATGAAATATTTAAAGTTATATATTGTCTAGTTCTCATTCCGTATCTATTGAACTCAGGGTTTAGTAAGTTGGAAAACACTTTGTTCTTAATACTCATAGTCAGCCAACATTTGGAACACCCTAAGATAAAAAGTGTTTCTTATGTTTTAACTCCCATGCTTATTGTCTATCGGTTGAAGTGGATTTTTGAATTTTCTTTTCCCCTATAGGACTTGGCTTTGTGACTTCAATTACATTTATATTCTTGGTTGGAGTGTTAATGTCATCTTGGCTGGGGGCATCCGTACTTGGCCTTGGTGAGTGGTTTATCAAGCGAATGCCATTTGTTCGGCATATCTACAATGCCTCAAAGCAAATAAGTTCTGCTGTATCACCTGGTAAATTTTCTTTATGTCTTCTCGTAGTTCTTTTATTACATGTTTATGCATGCGTTAATTATCTTCTCAAACGACAGACCAGAACAAACAAGCATTTAAGGAAGTGGCTATTATCAGGCATCCTCGGGTTGGTGAATATGCCTTTGGATTTATCACTTCAACTGTCGTTCTTCAGGTCAATAACAACTACCATTTTTTATATTGTTTTGTCTTTCTTTGTAAAATAGTTCATCCACACATTTATTTGGTGCACGTTTTCGCTCATGTACATGTGTTGTGTTGAATATGCAAAAATTGGTATATGAAATGATACCAATAAAGTCTTGGCCCCTAATTGATGTGTTTGAAATGATATGATACTATGAGTTCTTTTCTTTAGAAGTATATCCAGAAAATTGGAAACTTTTGGTGTTTGGTTTTCAAAATAAACTCTATGAGATAGGAATTCAAGGATATGATTTTATGGAATAGGAATTCAAGGATATGATTTTCTATGAGAGATAAACTCTTCACTGGTCCCTAGTGATGTCTGACCTATAGTTTGATGTGTTAGTTGAATCCAACAATTGTACATTTGATCCATATTGATGTCAAGGCCAATCTGATTTCAGTCAATTTCTCAATCATATTGTTAGATATGGGTTGGAATTGGCCAGAACAGATTGAAGTCAGCTAGAATTGATTGATCTTTTTGACCAATTCTAGCCAATTTCTAAGCACGAAGGAGAGGAAAATGAATAAGCACGAAGCAAAGAAAAGACAAAAGATTCTTGTGATGACGTAAAATAGAAAAGGAGATGCATATTGCTATCTTCGCTTTTAATAATTGGTGCAACCATCACATTCCATGTTTTCTATCCATATTTACATGAGACAGAGAAAATAACAAAGGGGGAGATGATAGAGATAAATCTTCATAACTTCTTGAAAGTAGGAATGCGATTGTAGATAAGCTAACTGTCATAGAATTTTCTTTAATTCCAAATCTTGTGGACACTCTTTAAATCAAGCCCATTCCTTAATTTGTCTTTGCATCACCATCACCCAAAGGAACACTGGAGTCATGGTGATGATGCTATTGCTATCTTCATAATCACACATGTTGATAGGTTTAAAGTCATTATCACAATATACTCTTTATTATATTTTATTGTCATCATATTTGTTGGACAAGATTTGTGAGAACTTAAATGAGATTTTGGTGGGGTTATTAAAAAGAATATGGAAATTTCTTTTCTGGTGTTCCCAAATGATATATATACTGAATCAGGGAAGATGTATTGCTTAACACTATGATCTGTTTTTGTACTGAACGTGTAGTTTTGGCAAGTTGCATGTAATAGTCTGTTTGAAGCATCTTGTGAAATTCTACTTGATAATTATTTATCATCTTCCATCATGATATCCCCTTCCAATAATTGGTCATTTGGGACTATGAATAAATGCCATCACTTAGTTCCTTCCATTATGCAACAGAGTTACAATGGTGAAGAGGAACTTTGCTGCGTCTATGTTCCAACAAACCATCTGTACATTGGTGATGTTTTCCTTGTTAACTCCAATGATGTCATAAGGCCAAATCTCTCTGTCCGTGAAGGAATTGGTAAGCTACGATCCTACTTTTCCTGCTTGAAGTTTCCTTCCACCATATCATTATATAAGACTGCAACTCTGGAAAGCTCTGGTAGTGATTTATCAGCTTGTCCATTTTAATCCTGAATCCATGTTTAAATGCAGAAATCGTCGTCTCAGGTGGCATGTCAATGCCGCAAATTATCACGACACTGCATCAATGTTGAGTACTTAATGGGGATCTAGAGCTAGCAGAATCTGATACCAATATGTTGCTTCTTGAGTTTCCCTTAGTTGGAGCTCAGGGGGCACTTTTTTTTTTTTTTATAACTTTTTTAGGTTTTTAAATCTTACTTATCTTTCCGTCTTACAATTGCCTGAAATGATTCTAATATACCCGAGGAAACAATGTATTGTAAATTGCAATCCAGCTCCCAAGTCACATCCGCACGGTTGGATAGTTTGCCTAGTTCAGTAATATGAATCTTTCCATCGATATCACTCTCCGATCGTGCCTATGCTTTGACTACCGTCAGCTGTTCTTCAGGTGATACAAAATGTTGATAGTTCTCTCTGCTCTCTTTCTGCATTTATAGACTGCTATTTTTCCATTCGTTTGTAAGTAACAGTTTTGCTCGTGCATTGATCCAAGCACTTGTTGCCCGCTCCGGATCTCCCTTACCTCTGTGGATGCTGTTGATCCCACCCACGCTGTTGGCCTCCCAAGTCTTCCTTAGCTGGGTTGTAAAGGAAGTCGAAGGCGGTAAGGGATCGATCCTAACGGGGTCAAAGAGTAGGCGGAGAGAAAGAGGGAGGCAAAGAATGCCATGGTGAGGCGACAACGAAATCGAAAGGGGTCGGAGGTGGTGGAGGAATTTGGAAGCGATCAAACGGGTCATCCCGTGATGAGATCATGGGAAAATTAAAATCGTCAACGGAGGAGAGGAAGACAAAATGCCGAAAGGCGGTGGAGGAGAGGGATAAAGGGGTCATCCCGTGAAGGGATTTGGAAGTCAAAATCATCAACAGAGGAGAGGAAAACAAGAGGATCGAGTTTCTTACAAATTGATATCTCAGATCTGTGAAAACTAGGTGGTCTATGAAAAGCAGCAGCCTGCGCCGGCAGCGGCGTGGCAAGCACTGCACGCACAAAGGCGACGGCAAAGCAGATCTAATTTATGGACAAAATTATAGTTTTGTACTAGGGTTTTCCTTTGATCAAATTATAACTTTACCCTTCTATATTTTATTAATATCGTTTAATTCTTTTTACATATTTATGGTTTTGTCCTTGATGCTTGATTTTATCAAATTATAGTTCTGCCCTTACAAATCTCATAATTCCAGTTTATATCCTATCAAATATTTACGGTTTTATTCTTATGAAATTGAGAATTCTAATTTATATTCTCAATTATAAATTTGATAAATATAATTTATTATAATTATGATTGAATTTAATCATGATAATATTTTAATTATTTGATTAGATTTAATTTTTGATTAAAAAAATTATAAATTATGATTTATTTTTATAGTTTTCTCATATGAATTATTTATTATATTTTTATTATGTGGTATATAAAATTCAATTATTGTTCTTGGATATTCATTTGATTATTCACATGTATATTTTTGAAATTATGAAATAATATTTATATTTCACATAAAGACACTTCTTAATTTATATATTATCATGATTATAGTTATCTTAATTTATATATTATTGAACTGCTTCAACATAAATCAAGATAAATAAATTTATGAATATTATTTATAATTTATCTTCATAAGTTGTATCTAACTAATAGCTATCAAAGTAGCCTGAGATTGTAGGCTTATGAGATGTGAATTACAATAAATGTCTTATCATTTATATAACATTTTAGATTATATTTTATATTTTTGTATTAGTCCTACAGCTACCAAAGTGACCTAGACCAATAATTTATAAAATACATTATGAAATTAGTCCTAAATGATATTAAATAAAATAATATTCACAGCATGAATCAAGATAAAAAAATTTAGTTAATATTATTTATAATTTATCTTCCTAAGTTTTATCTGACTAATAGCTACCAAAGTAGTCTGAGATGATAGACTTATGGGATATGAATTATAATAAAGTTCTTATCATTTATGAGATATTTTAGACTATATTTTATCTTTTTGTATTGGTATTGTAGCCACAAAAGTGACCTGGACCAATAATCTATAAAATACATTATGGAATTGATCCTAAATAATATTAAATAAAATAATATTCATGATGACATATATAATTAGGAGATTTAGATAATCCCAAAGGAGAATCTATTTCAAATAGTTATATGATAGGGTAGGATGATATTGTTTTGAATATCCTTACAATTTATAATTATATACCCAAATATAATAATACTATTCTACAAGGATGATATTAGTCCTCCATAAATGATCTTGAGTGAACACTAGATATGTCAATATTTCACCAAAACGTGAAATATAGATGATATCAATAGTTCATCATATTTTAGAAACTGAAAGCATTAATGTTCTATTATTACAATGATATTTCCTTCATTGTATTTTTATAAAAATTTTTATACTTTTTGAAATAAATGGCTTGAGCATATGTAAGTTGTATTGAGTGAATGAGACCTTGATCAAATTAATTAAACAAAATATAAACCTAATTACTGAAAGTTATATAGAATAAATAATTGAGGTGACTAATCAGGAAAGGTATGAAAGACTCAATTTTATGATACTTAGACTTCAGTATAGTTTACAACTAGCGCATGAGAATATCAAAGGATCAATTTAAATTTTCTGATAAGTAATTAGTTGACACCTTAAAATGATAGTATTTGAGGAATTCAAGATTATGTCCTCAACATAATTGATAAAGTTGTAAGCTCGAGACTCGTAATATTTTGAGTACTCTTGAGAGAGTAGGTAACACTAAAAATAAGGATGAAGTGTAAGTCGCCTGAGTTTATAATTACTATATAAACTCATAAAAGAATATCTTCACAATAAAATGTTACTTCTGTAGCAGAGAAAGTTATGTGAAAAAGAAAAAAAAAACTATAAGATTTGAAAAGGTATAAATATAACTTTTATATGATTCAAATCAAATATTACATAAATTATTTTTTTAATACTTGATGGACTAATTTGATGCTTCAACATATGTTACCAATAATAGATATTCATTATGGGAGATAAAACCAAAAGAGAATAAGATATTCATTATTATAGGAAATCATCTTAAAGTGATAGTGATATTAGTTTGTATTTATCACATATATATCTTTAATTCAATTTGATAAATCTTGAGAATCCATGTTGTGTTCTTATAATTATGAGAATTTGGGTTCTTTACGTAGAATTATTAGAATATCATTTCCCTTTTTGGTGATCGTAAATTTACTGTGATTCAATAAAATTAACCTTTGAATTTTATATAATAGGCTATATAGAATTAATATGAATCTTAAGTTTACAATGATCCTATAATTAAATGTTAAAATGAAATGTAGTTTTATAAACTCCTTAAGATCATGCTTATATCTATGGGTCACTCTATTCCTTCGTCTCATTAAAGAGAGACATTTTATCACCATATAACTAACTTGTTGAGATATGATTATATATATCCAATTTATATAAAGTGTATGATTATTCACACTCTTGAAGTGTATATAAATGAAGCCGATAGATAATTAGATAAAAAAGTCAAGATCATCACAAGGATAATGAATTTTATGATATTTGTGATGAACCCAATTATAATTCTAATTCTTGCTAGATTCTTGGAAAAATAAGGTATATGATTTACCAGATGTGTTATAGTAGAATATGATTGTTGAAAGATATAATCGTACCTTTATAAATATGGTTAAGAGCTTGATAGGTTATTCTTTTGTACCCAAACTAATGTGAGAAGAAGCTCCAATGATAACTATGTATATCTTGAATGGTATTCCTAGTAAGTAAATTATATGACTTTTTTTAAATTATGAAATGATAGAAAACCCAACTTAAGATATTTACATATTTGAGATGTCCTATAGAGATAAAAATCTTAACTCACATAAAAGAAAATTAGGTTTAATAATTATTTTAAATATTTTATTATACATTCAGAAAAGTTTAAAGGGGTACATAACTTATTGCTCTAATCATAATACTAGGATAATTAAATCTAGTAATATAATATTTCTATAAAATATCAAATCAGTGGGAGTGAAAATCTCGAAATTTAATTTTGATATAGAGGAGATATAAGTTGATACTCCTTTTTTATTCGAGAGATTGTTGTTACTCAAATCATTAAATGATTTGATAAAAGTGAATAATACTAAACTCCCACATTATATTGATATCATTATTAATAGTCTTGTAGAATAACCATAATTGACAACCTTAGGAAAATCTCAAAGGAAAAGAATTCTGTCATTTATGGTTACTATATGACATATCTATAAGAATTATATTATAATATAGGAATCAAAATAGATCCCTTATTGTTTTTACAGGTCATGAAAACTAATGATTCTGAAAAGCAATATGATACAATAAAAGAAGAGTCAAAATCAATAACTGGTGTTTGATAAATTTTTTGAATTGTTCAATAATTGTAAAAAAGTATATTATATAAATATGATTCAAAGGATAATATCGAACGATATAATGGTCAAACTTGTGGTTAAAATTTTTACTCATAAAAATATATCGATCATATTTAGTTTTTAATAAACTCATTAAGAATCATCATGACATTAGTGACTTATTATGAGTTTGAGTTATCTCATAATGATATGAAAATATTTTTTAAAAGATATAGTTTTATATGGGTTACTATAAATGATTTACAAAGAAAAATAAAAAAAAAAATAAAGTTTGGTATGCAAATTCAGGAATCTATTTATGACATTAAATAAGCTTCAAGATAATGATATATAAATGTTCTTGATATCATTATTTTCATATTTAAGAAAAATACTATTGATCAGTATTTATATCAGTATGAGCAAGTTTATTATATTGGTCTTGTATATAGATAATATTTTTGCATTAAGAGTTTTAAGATCATTGATATGAATAAGACATCTTATATTATTAACATTGAGTAATTTAAGGATAGACCTCAATGATTATGAAAATTATCTTAGAAAGGATATATCAACCGAGTCTTGAAAATATTTAATATACAGCTTTGTTCAGTAAATCATAAAAGTAAAATTTTAGTCAATAGTAAATGCTTTAAAATGACTTGAAAAGAACTAGATAAAGAAAATATTCTTTATATATACGTAGTTGGAAGTCTATGCTTAAGCCTGTGTCACAAAATATATCAGTTTTACAGTTAAAATATTGGATATATATTGGAGTTACCCAGAATTAAAAATACTAAAGGACTATAGAAAAAGTAGTAAGATATCCGGAAGGGACAAAGGATTATATACTCACATGTATGAAATTATATCAGCTTAAAATAATAATATTTTTGA